CTTCCCAAAAGTATTGTTGTTGAAACCGCAAACGCAACTTCAATTTCCGTCCAACGTGACGCCAAATGACATCAGGTTTAGTTGCGCCGTATTTTGCTGGAGCAGCTAATCGTCTAAATCTGATGCCTACAGAAGTACAAAAAATTTTGAATTTTCAAGCTTTGGGGCTCACAGACGATCAAATCAATTATTATTTGTATTTTTTCGGTATGGCATGTTGAGTCTTGAGTCGAAAATATGCCATCTACATTCTCAACTTATTGTGTGTTTTGCACAGTAAGCGCGGTATTCCACGACTTTTGTGTTTAAAATGTGCCTAGTTCCATTCCTGTTCAATTTGTTCTCTTCTCATGCTGGAGCATATTCAACTGGAAACATTTCACGGTATCTGCTCCATCGATACCTGCCTTTACGATTTTTTAAGGAGCCGTGAGACGCTGCGCGCACTGTGCAAACACACACTAATTCGCAAGTAAGTCAAGTAGAAGTGGTTAAAGCTGAGCGAAAGCGTTAGAATTACGGAAATGAAATATCTTGTCATATTAAAGTTGGTATATGTCCTGGAACATTCAAAATCTAGCTACTTCTTGCTAGAATTTGAGCAGATTTGGCTTCTTTCAAAGTATGAATCATCCTTTGCTAGGGAATTAGTGTTCAAGAAAATCTCCATCACATCCGAAGTTCTCAGAAAAATTGCTAGAACAGAATAAAGGGGAAAAGTACCCAATATTCTAAAACCTTATAAATGCTTCTACTGGAATAAATTTTACCTCAGACTTATTCAATCCTAGCTCAGAATACAGAGCTTCGAGTGGAGTTTTCAGAAACAATCCATTGTCATCGTATGTATTTGAATCCAATGTATCGTCAAGAGCATGTTTTCCAAGAGTTCGCTCCATTCTCAGCATATTCGAAGCGGACACTCCGTGATCAGCGGCCATTTGAGCGCTATCCTTAAACTGGGGGCTAAGGAAAATTTTCTTGGAAAAATGAGTAAAGTACCAAGAAATGAAGAGGAAGTATCCCTACCTGCTTGAGTCGATTCATTGGGTGAAAGACGTTTTTGACGTAGTTTTCGTAGCTTTGCGTTACGGGACCTCCTGGTAAAATATCGTCTCTTGGAGGTT